GAGCACTGAGGCGGGCGCCATGGGGAGCGCATCGTAGCCCCCCCCACGCCGTGGCCGCCCCCCCCCCCCCCCCCCCCCCCCCCCGTGCGTGGCACCGGTGGCAGAGCCCACTCGGTCGGTGCTGAGCGCTCCTTGATGGAATTGCGGTGAATGGAACAGAAGCCCAGCACCCTGGACCCGCTGTCGGAGCCAGAGGACACCCGGTGAGCCCCCGGTGTCACTGCAACACACATGGCCCCGTGCCCCGTGCATCCTTGTGTGTTCCCAAGTGTCCCCATGCCTGGTACATCCCTGTGCCCTGTGTGTCACCGGGTCCGGTGTGCCCCATGTGTCCCCGTGCCCCCTGTGTCACTATGCCCGGTGTGCCCCATGTGTCCCCATGCCCTCTGTGTCACTATGCCCGGTGTGCCCCATGTGTCCCGGTGCCCTCTGTGTCACTATGCCCGGTGTGCCCCATGTGTCCCCATGCCATCTGTGTCACTATGCCTGGTGTGCCCCATGTGTCCCCATGCCCTCTGTGTCACTATGCCCGGTGTGACCCATGTGTGCCTGTGCCCTATACATCACCAGGCCCGGTGTGCCCCATGTGTCCCCATGCCCTCTGTGTCACTATGCCCGGTGTGTCCCATGTGTCCCCGTGCCCTATACATCACCAGGCCTGGTGTGTCCCATGTGTCCCCGTGCCCTATACATCACCAGGCCTGGTGTTACCCCTGTGCCCAGTAAGTCCCTGTGCATCCCTGCGTGGCCTTGGCTGTGCCCCCTATGTCCCCAGGCATTCCCATGCCCTCAGTACCCCCATGTGTCCCCGTAGCCCCAGTGTCCCCCTGCCCCTCTTTGCCCTGGGTGTCCCCAAGGGTCCCCGTGTCCCCGGTGTCACACTTCCCCCCTCCCCCCTCCCGGCCCCCTGTTCCCCCCCCGGGGCCCCTCGGCCCCCCTGTCCTGGGGCTATTTCGGGAGGGCCGCGGCTCTCACGTGCCCCGGGGGGAGCCAGGCCCGGGGTCACCTTGGGCTGGAGCCGGGGAGACCCTCACCCCCCTCACCCCCCTCACCCCCCCCCAGCTCTGCGCCCCTGGGTGCGGGATCGCCCCCCACCCCCCCCTCCCCATTCAACACCCGCAGGTGCCCATCCCCAGGGCATCGGGGCGCCCCCCCCCCCCATTTCAATCAGTGCCGGGCCACTCAGCCAATGGGCTGCTGCCGTGCGGGCGAGGCGCGGACCCCCGCGGCCCGCCATTGGCTGAGCCCCTCTGACGTCACTTCCCCGCTGAGCCAAAAGGACATTTTGTCTTTGACTGTAAATGAGCCCCTCCCCCATCCCGCCCCTCCCCCACCTTTTCCCTTTCCCCCTCTTCCTCCTTCCCCTCCCCTCCCCCTGTGATGCCCCAGGTTAGGGGTCCCCAGCCCCCCCCGCACCCCCTGGCACCCCATTGCCACTGCCGGGACCCCCGGCGATGGGGCTCTGGCTGCAAATAGGGGGGGGGCTTTGGGGGGGGCCTGTTGGGGGGCACTGGGGCACGGTCCCAGCCTGGCCCCCTCCTGCAGGTGGCTGGATGGCAAGCGCAAAAGAAAGAGCAGCCAATGTTTGGTGAAGAGCAGCATGTCAGGTAGGGGACACCCCCTGGCACCCCCCAAGGGCCCCCAACTCCCCTTCTCCCCCCCTGGGTGCCCCCCATCCTTGCCGGGTTCTGCAGGCACTGCAGGTTTTGCCTGCATCCCACCCACCATCCCCATGCCCATGCTGCGGACCCTGAGCACCCCATGTTCCTGGTGGGCACCCAGTGTCCTTACCAGGGACCCCACATTGCAATGGGCACCCCACTTTTCTTCACCATGCCCCCCGCACCCCATGTGCCCGCTGGGACCCCAAGCACCCATAGGGTGCCCTTTTCCCCCTCCGTGGTTGTGGGTCGAGCCGGGGCGGTGCTATCGGTGCTGGCAGCACCCTGGGGTGGGAGATAAGGGGGCCCTGGCCGGGCGCTGCCCCCCAGCCCTGCCCCATTCCCCAGTGGGGAGCGGCCGGCGCCGGCGGGATCCCGCTGGGAGGACGAGAGGCCCCAGAGGGACCCGGGCATCCGGCTCCTGGCCCATCCCTCCCGCACCCATCCCTGCTCCTGGAAGGGAGGGGGGGCACGGGGTCCCCCACATCCAGCACCCACAGGGTGCCAGGGTGGGCTCTAGGGGCTCCCACAGCTCAGTTCGCTCCATCCCAGGGGCGTTGTGGAGATGCTGGGGTGCACCCATTGTCTGTTGGTGCTGGGACCCCCCCAAACATCATGGGTGCCCCGTGCCTCAGTTTCCCCATAAGGCTGCTGATGGGGGGGGGGGGGCTTGTCTCTGTGCTGCCAGGGGACAGTGGGCCATTGTGTGCCGGGGGGGACGGGGACACCCCCCCCAGCAGCTGCCTCCCCAGCCGGATAATGGGAGCTTTCTTGCTGCGGGGGGCTTGGGCAGCCCCCCCAGACCCTCAGCTCTTAACCCTTCCCATGCTGGTGGCAGCTGCTGCCATAGGGGGGGACTCTGAGGCAGGGGGTGGGGGGGTCCCTGACACGCTGTGCCCCCCCCAGGGTACATCCCTAGTTACCTGGACAAAGATGAACAGTGCGTGGTGTGCGGGGACAAAGCCACCGGCTACCACTACCGCTGCATCACCTGCGAGGGCTGCAAGGTGAGGGGGCTGCAGGGTGGGCTGGGGGGGCAGGAGGTAAGGGGGACTCACTGGGGGTCACTGCATTGTGTGTGTGTGTGTGTCCTGTTGTCCCCAGGGCTTTTTCCGTCGGACCATCCAGAAGAACCTGCACCCCACGTACTCCTGCAAGTACGATGGGTGCTGCGTCATCGACAAGATCACCCGCAACCAGTGCCAGCTCTGCCGCTTCAAGAAGTGCATCTCCGTGGGCATGGCCATGGACTGTGAGTGTGAAGGGCACGGGGTGGGGGGGACACACGCAAGGAATCCCACAATGGTTTGGGTTGGGAAGCACATGAAGCTCATCCAGCTCCAGCCCCTGCCACGGGCAGGGACCCCTTCCACTGGAGCAGCTTGCTCCAAGCCCCTGTGCCTTGAGCACTGCCAGGGATGGGGCAGCCACAGCTTCTCTGGGCACCCTGTGCCGGCGCCTCAGCACCCTCACAGGGAAGAGCTTCTGCCTTGTATCCAACCTGAACTTGCCCTGTTTCAGTTTGAACCCATCACCCCTTGTCCTATTGCTCCAGTCCATGATGAGCCCCTCCCCAGCATCCCTGTAGCCCCCTTCAGACACTGGAAGCTGCTCTGAGGTCTCCACGCAGCTTCTCTTCCCCAGGCTGAACAGCCCCAATGTTCTCAGCCTGGCTCCATACGGGAGCTGCTCCAGCCCCTGCTCATCCTCGTGGCCTCCTCTGGCCTTGCTCCAACAGCTCCATGTCCTCCTTACGCTGAGGAGGACACCGGAACTGCGCACAGTGCTGCAAGCGGGGTCTCCCAATAGCACATCCACTGGGTTGGGGTGCCTGGAGCAGCGCTTGGGGTGCAGGCTGTGGGGGTGGGATGCATTGGGGGGTGCTGAGTGATGCATGGGGGTGCCCCCCGCAGTGGTGCTGGATGATTCAAAGCGGGTAGCGAAGCGGAAGCTGATCGAGGAGAACCGCGAGCGGCGGCGGAAGGAGGAGATGATCAAGTCGCTGCAGCATCGCCCCAACCCCAGCGCGGAGGAGTGGGAGCTCATCCACGTGGTGACCGAGGCCCACCGCAGCACCAACGCCCAGGGCAGCCACTGGAAGCAGAAGCGGAAATTCCTGGTGAGGATACGGATGGAGGGGGGATCCCCCCACACCAGCACCCCTTTGGGACCTGAGCACCCCCCGCGCGCTCGGGAGCAATTGGGACGTCGCCCGATGTCCTTGAGCTTGTCACCCCCGGACGGGTTAAGGGGTTAGCGGTGACCGAAGGGGACAGCTGTGCCCTGCGGGGTGGCCCTGGCCCTGGCCCTGCAGTGGTGCTGGCACACAGCTCCCTCTCCTGGCTGCTGCCCCGCTCCCAGCCCTGCCTCGGTTTCCCCCTGCTGCCATAGGGGTGCTGGGATTTGTTGGGGACCCCCTAACGCCGTGTGTCCCCGCAGCCCGAGGACATCGGCCAGTCGCCCATGGCCTCAATGCCTGACGGGGACAAAGTCGACCTGGAGGCGTTCAGCGAGTTTACAAAAATCATCACCCCGGCCATCACCCGCGTGGTCGACTTTGCCAAAAAACTGCCCATGTTTTCAGAGGTAACGGGGGGGGTGTGGGATATGGGGTACCCCAAGTCGCCCCCCAACCACCACCGCCACCACTGACACCATCCCCAACGCGCAGCTGCCTTGCGAAGACCAGATCATCCTGCTGAAGGGCTGCTGCATGGAGATCATGTCTCTGCGGGCGGCCGTGCGCTACGACCCCGAGAGCGAGACGCTGACGCTCAGCGGGGAGATGGCCGTCAAGCGCGAGCAGCTCAAGAACGGCGGCCTCGGCGTCGTCTCCGATGCCATCTTCGACCTGGGCAAGTCCCTCTCTGCCTTCAACCTGGATGACACCGAGGTGGCCCTGCTCCAGGCCGTGCTGCTCATGTCCTCAGGTAGCGGCGGCGCTGGCTGTGCATGGGGATGCTGGGGAGGGGAATGGAGTGGGCATCGCAATGCCCAGAACCTCAGCACCTTCAGGGTGCATTGGATGGGTATCGCAATGCCCAGAGCCCTCAGCACCTTCAGGGTGCACTGGGTGGGCATCCCAGTGTCCAGAGCCCCAGCACCTTCAGGGTGCATTGGATGGGCATCGCAATGCCCAGAGCCCCCAGCACCTACAGGGTGCATTGGGTGGGCATCACAATGCCCAGAACCTCAGCACCTTCAGGGTGCATTGGATGGGCATCGCAATGCCGAGAGCCCCCAGCACCTTCAGGGTGCATTGGGTTGGCATCCCAGTGTCCAGAGCCCCAGCACCTTCAGAGTGGGCATCCAAATGCCCAAAGACCTCAGCACCTTCAGAGTGCACTGGGTGGGCATCCCAGTGTCCAGAGCCCCAGCACCTTCAGGGTGCATTGGGTGGGCATCCCTGTGCCCAGAGCCCCAGCACCTTCAGGGTGCATTGGATGGGCATCGCAATGCCCAGAGCCCTCAGCACCTTCAGGGTGCATTGGATGGGCATCTCAATGCCCAGAGCCCTCAGCACCTTCAGGGTGCATTGGGTGGGCATCCCAATGCTCAGAGCCCTAGGACCTTCAGGGTGCATTGGGTGGGCATCTGAATGCGCAGAGCCCCAGCACCTTCAGGGTGCATTGGGTGGGTATCCCAGTGTCCAGAGCCCCCAGCACCTTAAGGGTGGGCATCCAAATGCCCAAAGACCTCAGCACCTTCAGGGTGCATTGGGTGGGCATCCCAGTGCCCAGAGCCCCCAGCACCTTCAGGGTGCATTGGGTGGGCATCCCAATGCCCAGAGCCCCAGCATCTTCAGGGTGCATTGGGTGGGCATCCCAATGCCCAGAGCCCCAGCACCTTCAGGGTGCACTGGGTGGGCATCCCAATGCCCAGAGCCCCCAGCACCTTAAGCGTGGGCATCCAAATGCCCAAAGACCTCAGCACCTTCAGGGTGCATTGGGTGGGCACCTTGAGAAAACTGGTCCCCACTGGTTTAGGGGGATAGGGGGTGGGCACATTGGGGTGCATGGGCTTGGACACCTTGGTGTTGTGCGCACTGGAATGCTCACTACCCTAGGAGTTGGGGTGCAAGGGGTGGGCACCCCAGTTCTTGGTGCTGCAGCAAGGGGCGAGCACCCCAGTTCCTAGTGCCCCAGGAGTACGGAGTGAGCATCCCACTGCCCAGTGCTGCAACCCTGGGTTGGGAGGGGGTACAAGGGGCAAGCACCCTGTTCCCCAAGAGCACGAAGTGCATGGTGTGAGCACACTGGGAACGCTCTGAGAAGGAGGAGGGGGGGAATTTGGGACACGGAGCCTGGCACCCCTCGGCCACCACGTTCCCTTGTTGCCGCAGACCGGACGGGGCTGATCTGCGTGGAGAAGATCGAGAAGTGCCAGGAGACGTACCTGCTGGCCTTCGAGCACTACATCAACTACCGCAAACACAACATTCCCCACTTCTGGCCCAAGCTGCTGATGAAGGTGACGGATCTGCGGATGATCGGCGCCTGCCACGCCAGCCGCTTCCTGCACATGAAGGTGGAGTGCCCCACCGAGCTCTTCCCCCCCTCTTCCTCGAGGTCTTCGAGGACCAGGAGGTGTAGGGCTGCCACACCCCCCCCCAACACACACACACACACACCCCCCATCTGGCCCCCTCCCTGCTCTGCCCCACATCACACCCCCCAAACACCCCCCCCCCCGATTTCTCTTAATGGGGGATCGCTGCGCCCAAGGGAGGGGGGGGTCCTGCTGTGCCCCCCATGGCTGCCCCCCTCCACAGCCCCCCCCAGCGCCCCAGGACTTGATGAATTTTGTTTGTTTGCACAGGGAAGGGCCCCGATGTCGAGCGTTTCCTTTATTGTCCTTCTCTTCTTAGATTATTATTTTTTAAGCATTTATTTCCCTCCCTGAGAGGCTAAAATATTAAACTAACTGCACTTTGGAAGGAGAGAGGAGGAGGAGGAGGAGGAGGAAGAGCAGAGGAGAGGAGGGGGCTCTGGGCTGCACAGGGAGAGGCTGCCCCGGCCCCATGCACTTTGGGCCAGGCAGCAGCGTGGGGGCCAGGGTTGGAGGGGGGGGGGGGGGGGGCGGCCAGGACCCCCCCTTTATAGCAAAGTGAGGGTTATTGGGGGACACAGTGGTGGCGAGGGGGACCCCAGCCCATGGGGGAGTTGTGGGGGGGGGGGGGTGTGTGAAGGGCTGGGGGACCAGCGCCCCCCCCCATGCCCTGCACCCCATTTCCCACCCCCCCAGAATTTGGGGCCAGATTCGGGGCTTTGGTTTTCTCTGTCTATTTTGGGCTGAGAGGAGCTGATTTTGTGCCAAGCGCCGCAGACGGTGGGCGCTGCGGGACACCGTGGGGAGGAGGAGGGGGGGGGGGGCACGGACCCAATGCGGCCGCCCCCCCCCCCCCCCATCACCCCCCCCCCCAACTTTTCCGTTGTCCTTCTTTTTGTTGTTGTTTCCCCCTTCCCCCCCCCACCTCGTCCTCGTGGGTTTATTTGTCGTGTCCGTCAGGAGTTGCAATGGCCCCAGAGGCACCAGCGGGGATTGGGGGGTGCCCCCCCCCCGGCCCCCACATGGCCCCCACTGCACTACTGCCCCAGCCCCCCGGCAGCAGCACTTGGGGGGGGGGGGGGGCTGCACCCCCTAAATCACACCCCTCCTCTGCTCCCGGGGGAAGGGGGGGGGCCAGGCTGCGGTGCAGGGGGGGGCGGGTCTGGGGGGGGGGGCTGCAGCGGGGGCACCCGGGAATGGTTTTATCACCTTCCCCCCCCCCCCCCCCCATCCCCAAATTTAGGTTTGTGAATCTTTTCTTACCTCAGGCGGAGGCTGAGGGGGGGCGCGGGGGGGGCGGCCGGCGAGGCAGGCGGCCTGCCGGGGCCCACCTAAGCTAATATATATATATATATATAAATATCTATAAAATATATAATTTTTGTAATTAAAAACAAAAAAAAATCTTTTTACGGGTCGTTTAAAAGCAGAAAAATCCCACCATGAGACACGTGGGGGCCCCTCCGCTCCCCCCCCACCCCTTACCTTGGCATAGGGGGTTGTGTCTGGGGGACCCCACCAGAGACACCCCCCCCCACTGCAGCCAGGCCAGGGGGGTGCAGTGGGGCTGTGTGGCATGGCAGGGCTGCAGCACCCATGGGTGCCCTCATGGTTGGGGGGGGGGTCCCGGCACACCCCCCACCCCCCCCACCCCCCTGCAGCATCAGCGTTGGCTTTGCACTTAGTGCAACATGTCTTAAAGAGCCAGCCCGGTGCCCGGCACGGGGGTCCCGGCAGCACCGGCACCGGGTTGTGCAATAGGAACCGGTGCTGGTGGACACTAATGCCTGTGCTTGGGGGGGGGGTGCAGAGGGTTTAGGGGTTCACCCCCCTCCCGGCAGCACCGGTGCCCGTGGTCACGCTCAGCCCTGCTCCGTGTGCAGCACCGGTGTTAACACGTGCCTTCGGGCTGCGGCACGGCACCGGGGCAGTGCCCACGTGTGCGGTGGCGGCGTGAGGGCCGTGCGTGCTGGAGCAATGCTCGTGCAATGCCCTTGCTGTGCCATGTGGTACCGGTGCGGTGGCCGAGCCACGCCGGTGGCAGTGGCGACGCAGTGTCCATGTACGCTGGTGTAGTGCTGGTGCAGTGGCCATCCGGTGCCGGTGCAGTGCCCGTGCATGCTGTTGGCAGTGTCCATGCAGTGCTGGTGTAGTGACCATACAGTGCCGGTGCATGTTGGTGTAGCCCCGGCGCAGTGGCCACGCGGTGCCGGTGCCATGCGATGCCCGTGTATTCCCGTGCACAGTGTGTGTGATGCTGTGCGCTGCCGCGCTCACCGCCAAGCCCAGAGCTGTTGTGGGATGTGTCTGAAGCAGCAGCCGTGCCCCCCCCCCCCACTTGCAGCGGGTGTTGGGGTCCCCCCGGGGCAGCAGCACGATGCCCTGGGGGAGCTCATCCTGGCCAGCACCCCCCCGCTCTCCCTCGCACTCGCCCCGGGCCGCAACCTCCCGTCCCCGTCTCGCGTCGCCATCGCACGTCCAGCATCGGCCCCGGCTTCGCCTGGGGTTGGGGGGGGTAGGACCGGTGCCCCCCATCCCGCCACCTCCCCCGGGTCATCCCCCTTGTTGTCGTCGTCGTGTCCCCCGTCCCCGTCCCCCCCCCCCCCCCCCAAGCACATACCTCATGGCTCCCGGAGCTGCCCCTGCTTGAGGCCGTGTCGAGCCCACCCGGCGCGGCATGGCCCGGCGCGGGGTCCCCCTACTATGCATGGTGGCGGCGGGGGGCCGCGGCCGGCGTCGCTGAATGTAGGGCGCGGGATGGGGAGGGTTGGGAGGGGGTGTTGGGGTGTTGGGGGGGGTGGGGGGTGAGGGGGGGGACACACGCTGAGCTCCGTGACAATCACAGTCTGTGACGTGCGATTTTAAACCCTTTTGTGTTTTGGTCAGGATTTTAAAGAAAGATATTTTTATGGTAATTGTTGCTGGTCTATTTTACTATATATTTATGTAATAAATATATGATGAAAACAAAAAAGAAACCAAACCAAACCCAACCAAACCCACCCATAGAGCTTGGTTGGATCCGGCCTCTGCTTCCCACCACTGCCTGCCGGAATGGGGGGACCAGGATGGGGAAACCCAGCCCCCCGGCACTGCCAGCGTTGCTGTGGGGCTGATGCCCACAGTTATGGGGAACAGGGGGGTCCTGGCATCCCAGTGCCCACCCTTTGGGAGTCCGGTGGGTGCCATGGGGTTGGTGCTGCCCCACCCCAAACCCACGGTGCTATGTACAGGGTGGTGGGTGCTTGGGGTAAGGGGGGGGGGTCCATGGGAGCCCTACTGGGCATCGATGCGGAAGGAGAGCAGCTTCTCGGAGTGGAGGTTGTTGAGGGTGCGCAGGTCCGGCAGCTTCAGCAGCAGTTTGGTGAACCGGGACGTCTCGGCCGGGTGCGTCTTCAGCACCAGGGCGCGCAGGGCACGGATCAGGGTCTCCTGGAGCTGCTCCACCGACGCCGTGTCCTCCATCCCCGAGCGGTCTGCGGCAGCGGGGAGGGGGCCATGTGTGGATGGTGCCGCACACACACACACATGCATTCCCCCCCAATCCCCCACCGCCCCCCACATCACCACAAGTCCCAACCTGCCGAGACCAGGACGACGGCGGTGAAGAGCCCCAGCTCCTCGTCGGTGAGGTCGAGGGCGCTGAGCTTCTCGCTGAACTCGAACATGGAGCTGAGCAGGTCGCCCATGCCCATGCCCCACAGCTCCTCCAGGCTGTACTTCGTCCGGCTCATGAACGTCACCGTCTGCTCCTTCACGTCGAACAGCGAGGCGAAGCGAACCATCAGCACCTGCGGCACACGCGGCGTCAGCGGCACCGCGCCAGGCTGCGGGCTCCATTGGGATGCTACGGACCGCCGTACAGCGCCATGCTCTGCCACGGCTCTGGGCCATGGAGCACCGTGTGATGCCATGGAACACCATACGCTGCCATGCTCTGTGCCACGGCTCCGTGCCATGAACCACCATGCAATGCCATGCTCTGCCACAGAGCACCATACACTGCGCTGCTCTGTGCCACAGCTCCGTACCATGAACCACCATGCAATGCCATGCTCTGCCACGGAGCACCATACACTCCCTGCTCTGTGCCACAGCTCCGTGCCATGAACCACCATGCAGTGCCATGCTCTGCCACGGAGCACCATACACTGCCCTGCTCTGTGCCACAGCTCCGTGCCATGAACCATCATGCAATGCCATGCTCTGTGCCATGGCTCCGTGCCATGAACCACCATGCAATGCCATGCACCACCATGCAATGCCATGCTCTGTGCCATGGCTCCATGCCATGGAGCACAACGTGATGACATGGACCACCATACATGCTCTGTGCCACAGCTGCACGCCATGGAACACCATGTGATGCCATGGACCACAATATAGTGCCATGCCCCGTGCCGCGGCTCTGTGCCGTGGGGCTCCATGCCAGTCTGTGGGCATTATGCAAGGCCGTGGGTTACCATACAGTGCCACGGGGCTCCGTGCCACGCTGTGGGGCACTATACAGTGCCATGGGACGTAGTGCCCATGC